TTCTGTGCCATCTGCTGCTTGAGAATAAACAGTGGCCTTGTACTGAGTGCAGGACTTCAGCCCAACGAGCAGGACTTCTGTGTCTCGGGACTCCGGGCCAGAGGATGGGTCAGCATGTGCACTGTGGGGCTCGTTCGTAGGGGCAGAGGGGCTGCCCTGTGGCGGGGGCAAGCTCTCTGCCAGCCTTCTCTCTGTGTCATGGGCATCTGTTTCAGGCACAGGACACAAAGACATTAACAACCAGAGAAACACAGCCCTCATCTTCTTCCAACACTGCCACCCCACAACATGATACATCAGACAGTGCCCACGTTGCTACTCCGTAAACATCCAGAGAGAGATGCAGCCTCCTGGAGGGCCCTGGTGTTTCACTTTCTACTGTTACTCCAGCAGCGCCACAAGATACTTTGGGCTTCTCTTTCAAACTCCACTATTTCAGGTCATTCTCTTTAGCATATTGTCTTCTCCCATCCCAATATGGTTTTCCAAGGACACCTCTAAGATCCAGACTTTGCTAATCAAAGCCCACTCAAGGAATGTTTCGCTTGGACCAGACCCTGGCCAGGAGGGGAGCTGCAGGATATGAAACAGGGAAACAGCTGGTGGCCATTTCTCCTGAAGCTGTGTGGAGGGAGCCACTCTAAGAACAAAGCCGATAAGTAGAAAGAAACAGAAAGAGATTAGAATTGCCTCATTTCTTTCTTTAAGGCCTCGCTGCAGCAGGGAGGAGCCAATAAGTTGCTCTTTTAGTCTTAGCTATTTAAAGTCTGGTTTCCATCACTTGTGATCAAGAACCTAACACCTGCTTTGGGGCTCTGTTTCCTCAAGTGTAAAATGGGGATTAAGTACGAGTGCTTATCGACTCACAGGGTTACCATAAGGATCCCCTAAAAACGCTGTGAAATCCGCAGAAGACTGTGCCAACGTCAACACAGCAGACGTCTGCTGGGCTTGCCTGCCAGGCATCCCTTTCTCAATGGATGTGATGAGTTCCTCGATGGCTCTAGACTTGGATTAACACACCTGCTGTTTGCTCACCAGGAACATAAGAAGCCAAAAGGGCTTGGAGCCTGGGATGCCAAACTGCACAAAGCTCCAAGCCCCATTGCAATTCTGGGCCCCAATGTGTTCACCTGTAAAATAAGAACTTCTCCTTCCTTC